TAACACCATGCTTTTTATGCGTATATTTACCATAATTATTATAATCACTAAAATAATAACCAAATACTTTCGGATATAATTAAAACAATCTAGTAACAACAATAAAGCATAGTTGTATATCGTAAAATACACATTTCGTTAACTGGTCAGAAAGTATCTTTAAATTAGCTACCACTCTCCACTGACATTACAGAAAATATTATATGTTCAGGATGAAAAATAAAACAAATTCTACAAATATTATGTAATCAGCTCACCTAAAGAACGACGATTAATTTCTTCCGTGATTTTTGCCTCAGCCAACAATTCTTCTTGAGTTAAACGCCGAACTTCCGGAAGATTTTTGCGCTGAGCGATTTCAGCTAGTAACGCTTTACGACGAACAGCTGTATTCTCAGCAGTGGCTATTCGTCTACGCGTGGTTTCGGTTTCTTGATCAGCTGTAGCTTGTAATGTGCTTGCCCTTAATTCTGGTCGTTCTAAAATATACGTATATATATATATATATATAAGATTTGCAAACAATACGTGATAGCTTACAAAATACTTCTTTTGTCAGTAGATTATAATATACCAGAAAAAATAAGTCATCTATGCGAATCCTTCATGGCTTGCAGATACTAGTGGTTCTGAACATAGATTGGAAACATACTACCCATCAAATCAGCATTACAGTGTCACACTCGGTCACCAATCACAACGTAAACCATTTACAACAGCAATTACACATTATTTACAAGCAACCTGCATTACTGAGATGGGTTTCCATCGACACGACGCCAAAATAACAGTCTAAAGTTACACGTGTTACATACATTTTCATGGCTATGTACAGTATTAACTGGTCTACACCAGATTGGATACATTATAACTCATTATCCAATAATTGTATACATTGAAATAAGAAATATTCAGCTGAATCGAAATGAAATTAAACCTAATATTATCATTACTTGTAACAGTTCCCTTCTAATAATATATGCATGTGAACCACTTAATAGTTTATTCCTAACCTTATTCTTATGATATTTCTATTTTGAAATAACATAATCATTGCTGATAAACAACGACAAGTGAAAATATAATCACCCACACTACATATGCACAATGTCCAACTCAAAGAAAATCAGATAATCGACTTACCATAAGTTGAAATTTGCCCTGAAGTTTTCTTTGTTATTGTTATCTGTTGTTGCTTATCTTTAATCTGTACGGTAGATTTACTCTGAGAATCAGTTAAACTTTTATCACTATTAGCCTTCTTATCAGGCAATTTATTTTCTTGAGGACGAGTAATTTTAGCACGTTTAGGTTCCTGTGGTAAAAAGAAATAGATTATTATCGAATAAATGTAAAATTAATAAATTTTAAGGCATAAATCATTTTAAAAAATTATACATCTTGTTGTGCAACAACATAAAAACATTAATCAACAAAAAAGGTCTTACTTTCACTGTTAATGTAGGTTCCTACCTTTCATTCTGTTATTTTATTTTATTTTTGGAATTCTTTATCGTGCATGCTACGTAGGGGTTTGAGTTATCTTATTAATTTTATGGACTGAATTCTGACTAATTTTTTATCAATATGTGCATCCTGTGTGGATTGCTTTGATATTAACATCATGACATAAGTTATTTAGAATAGATGGATTTTGAGTAGCACTGAAACGCAGGAAATGAGTTTCATCCTATTTGAAACTCAGCTGGGTGCACCTGCACCTTAGCGTTAATACTAAGTATTACAAATACTGTTAGTAGTTTTACATTTTTAAAGTATGCTAATATTTCCAGTCCTTTTTCAAAACGACTTATTTTTAGCAACTTGAATGTAACTGTAAACAAGAGAATACATGGTTAGCTTAACGTGTTATGTGAAAATTCATCGTTTTTTAATTGAGTTTACTTCATTCAAAATGAACAGTTGCATGGAAAACTTATAATTAAAAGAAAAGTTGACACAATTTTCAAAAAAGGGAGATATTCCTACTTTGTAACCTTTTGTAACAACACGATTAGATTGACGCTTTTGGCGTTTGTTCTCATCATCGTCCGATGCTATTGCTGTTGCGTCATCTTCATCAGATCCACTGCTTTCATCAGCGAAATCAGAGTCAATTACATCTTCAACTGAACTTTCTGATTGATAATCGGCATCTTCTTCTTCCTAAAAGAGGAATTAAATGGGAGAAAAAATTATGACAATCATTCCATTTTTATAAAAAGATTCATAACTATGATCTTTTCAATTAATAGACTTGTTTTTCCGGGAAGAATTCAATATTATAACGCAAAGGCGCATGAGGCGCATGTAAGAAGTGTTCTCCTTATCTGAGGTTTATTTATTATATGTATGGATGTACAGCTTATCGCCTAGTTAAAACACTATAAACACATACAAAACATGAGACTTTGAAGTGGATATATATATATATATATATATATATATATATATATATATATATATATATGATTTCGTTGATTGGTTGCGAGATTTCCACAAAAAAGATGTTCAAATACAAAAGTTTGTGACAGTGTACGAGGATTTATCCCACCGATCCCAAAGCAAATAATCAAATAAACTCTACGATATCTGTTGAATTCGCACTTGAATATAGTATTATAAGATGCATATCCAGAAAAACGAGCAGCAGTGGGAGAGTATATGGAAGTTCACTATTAGGTATTACCAACAACCAACATCGCATGTGATTTTTCGCAATGTCAAAGTTGTATCAATATGAGAGTTACATTCCTTATCCCCAAGAATCTGGAAAATGCGAACAAAGTTGTAATAAGTAAGCATCTCACTAATTTGAGCTATTAGGAATCGAACGGATATCGGTTCCAAAACTTTTTAGAATTTGTCAATAAAACGTGTTTGTAGACATAATTAAACCCCTTCAGGTTCGAACACAAGTCATTAACGGTCATAGCCAGATATACTAGGGAGATATTTAAGTTGTGAATAAGTTTGATTGATAGGGTTACGCAGATAAAGTGACTGCCGAAACGCACATAAATTACTGTCCAACATTATGAAGCTGAACAAATACTGTCGATTAAGGAATAACCTATGATGCCCCGATTACTTAGCAGTAATTAAGTTGGCAAATGAAACACCTAAAAAGGTCCGAACTTCAAACTGAGTGGTTTTTAGGAAGAAAACATGTCTTAACAACATCCAATGAGAAAATGAAGAGTAGAATACAATCCTCAATGAGAACCGGACAGTATGATAATAATTAGTATCCATTTTACAAACATTGCCATTGGTATCTTCGAAAACAATGCTTCGTTCCTGATATTTTTCATATACTATGTATAGACTAATAACCTTAAGTGACCTTTAATATATGATGATAATAATCGGTTTCACGAGTGATGATTAAGCAACGCACTTAATCTAAAAAAGCATAAGAAATAAATATTAGATAAACAATAAAACACGAACAATACTTCTGCAAGTCCACCATAAATATTGGAATAGAATTCATCCTCCTCCTCTTCATTCAACAATCGAGCCATCCGAGCTCCGGCGTTTGCAGTGCGTTCTCTATCCACTGGAATCGGCATCGGACCTATAAAGAATGTAAACATAAGGAAATTATCAGACTAATATATTGGTTAACTTAATACATGGTTAATTCCCAAAGAATATCTCGCGATAATAACTACTTGAATGTATTTAAGTCCTAAAATTACTACTGAGTCATGGTGAGAAACAGAATCCATAATGAACGGTATAGTCAAATAAGTTCAATATATGAAATACTTAACCCTCACAATGAAACTTAATACATGTAAGAATGTGAGGTTATCAGACAATAAGGATTGTCAGGGAGAAGTGTTCGAGCAGCTATCACACTAAGAAGCATTCAGTCCTATTACTGCCCAATGTAATGATTTTTTTAAATATCACTTTAGACATATAATCATAACTAATTGTGACAAGCCTGAAGTAAGATCCCAATAAATGAAAAATAACAATTTACCACGTGTAGCTTTTAGTATTCTATACACGATAATGCTAGTGTTTTAATCTTTTATTACAGTTATTTATGTGCAACAACGAAATTTATTGAAGGATGATTAGAGAATAGATTTACTCATTCGTTTCAGGACAAGAATATCTTACTTTCATTAGGTCATTCCCAACAATATGAGTGAGAAACCTTAAGAAAAATTAAGATTTTATCAACTTCAGTAGAATGAATGACATTTAAAGTGATTATCAACGTACATAAAATGTGAGACTAGTTCAAATTAACTAAATTACACAACCATTTATCAGTATTTGTTTATTTATTTAAACACATAAACATTGGTACAGAGGCACCAAACAGATATGCGCCACATAAATCATTCGATTTGTGTAAGAGCTGGGATACTGCCCGGGTGCCAAAACCGAAGCAGGTGGTTTTCTTCGGGGGGCCACACCCCGAACCTTTGACCTAAAGGTCTAATCCACAAGGCAGTGGAGCAACATAAGGAGGTGCAGTCCCATGGTAGCCGGTGACCAACAATTGTTTCATACGCCATTTGTTTCCTTAGGATCCTGTAGCCCATGCACACCACTGGTTTGGAACCAAGGTTTTCCAACTACCCTAAGTGGATCCTCCGTATCCATCAATCTGGTTAAAGGGCCGAGCCATCGCTTTTCGTCTTCTCAATTTCGTAAACAACACCCCCGCACGAAAGACAGTGAGTAGGACTTCTCTGTCAGGAGTCCAAGTATAGGGCTGACAGTGAAATACGCTCTCAGTTCCAGTTGAACAATGATGATACGAATTACAATGACCTATGGAAGATTTTGAACGCAAAATTAGTATAAACAGTGACCACCACTCTCACAAACCACTGTCCAAGCGAAGTTGCCAAAACATCCCATTAAGAGGATAAGACAACTTTGGAGTCAACTCAAGTGTTTTACTCAAAATTAGCGGAGAAATAGAAAGTACAAACGAAACTTTTTGCTATGAAATAACAAAAAGTAAACAATATATACTTAATTTATATTTCTACAATATTTATTAGCAAGCAAAATAAAATAGGTCACAACTGAAGTAGCTGCTAAATTAAGTTAGCAATAAGAAAAATGTGAGCAATCTGATAACATTATTTCGATCCAACCCGTGTTCGTTTGTTCCATGAAAAATTGGATCCATATGACTTGACATTCATTTTTAAAATATTTGGACTTTCTACGTAACATGGCCATCCCTGACGTTTGCAAAACTCTTCCGCCGCTTCAGAAGTTTCAAATTCAACAACTGTAGTTGAAAGTGGGTCACCAGTGCTCGCCCAACCCACCAGTGGATTTTCCCAGCGTTCCCGATTGTCGAACTCAATACGCCAAAGTCGAGTGCCATGAGTACCTGATTGAGTAGCAGGTTTAGCTGGGATGAAAATTCTAACACGCCTTTCAGATTGGTGTTCTTTTGGGACTTCATTTACTAGCGTCAAATCATCTTCGAGAGGAACCGTAATAACATCATCTTTAGAAAACTCTGCTGATTTCTTCATAATATGTTTCGCCTATTAAAATTAGTAAAGATTAAAAGAAAGGTACAGAGACCATATTATGCCAAGTTAGTACAATAAATAAGCACTACATGGAACACAACAAATACCCTCAGAGTAGCAGCTATGTAACCTTATTAATCCGGTCACAATAAGACAAACACTGTCACTTTATACCTTTGTCTACAGATAATAACTGTATACACAATCATGTCTACACCACAGATCGAAGCAAATTCGGTTTGTCAAAACTTAAACTAACAGATTTAAAACCAGTTAAAATTCTAGCGCTAGAACCAAAACGTAGCTGACATGGTGACCACGTTTTGATACTGAGTGAGAACATTCTGTTTTCCAGACCTAGACAAAATCCATATGAATGTACCTGCTTGGACCGAGCTAAACCTTTATGACCATCTGCGACGCACCTTGCCGATTTATGAAGGTTTGATGACTGGCAGTTTTTTTTATATAGATAATCAGCGTCTTCATGAATACTGTTCTTCAATATTTGGGAGGCTTAAAATGTCGTCACTAAAATTAAAGCAGTCTCGAATTCCAGGCTTTTGGTATATATAATAAGGTCTAAACTGTACGGAAGTAGAAATGTAAAACTTGGAAAGTGTTTCTGAAAGGTTTGCTGTGGCTAGACATAACCATTTATTTCTTCAACCTTTTGGGGAGTGGCCCCCTCAGAAAACCACTTGCTTCGGTTTGGGCACCCGGGCAGTATCACAGCCCTCACACATATCGAATGAGATTTGTGTGGCGCATATGTATTTGGTGCCTCCTCGTACCAATATCTCTGTGTTAAAATAAATAATCAACCTTTTAGTCATGTAAGATCGATTAAACGATAAGCAACATATGTGGTAAGTTTGAATTCCCCAGAAAATTTCGTATAGAAAGCAGGTTCTCTGAAGAACATATCAGTACCTATACGTCTTTATTTTACCAAACCCAAAAACATTATAACCATAGTAGGTTGGGATATAACAAAAAAATACATATTACAACCATAGGACCTTTCAGAACTTCAAATACTAGAAACTTTCGGACTATGATTAGAGTTTAGATAACCAAGTATTGGGAAGTTTTGATACACTACACGGTATTGTTGACCTGCAATCGCTTAAGTTAACTTACGCGCTACATACAAGTAGTTAGCTCTTGTCTATAAAACTGAACTACCTGAAAAGGTTCGAGGAGTAGTGGTCACGTTGGTCTCGAAATGGCATGGCTCCAAATTTGACTACATTTTGAGGAAGAGACCAGGGTAGCTATATCAAAATATTCTAACTAACTGATAAGGATTATGGGTCTAATATGTTCTTTAAATCCTATATTACAAACCAGTAACATCCTGCTTAACCTTGTATCGAAACAAACGCTTGAAATAAAATTGCCATCTTGGAGGCCATTGAGCGCTCCAAAGACTCTTGCTATTGACATTCTCTATACTGATGGGAACTGAAGTCTCATGTCCTAATTTATTAAAGAGCAATCCGTGTAACACTGGCGCAACCTTAAACAAGTGAGTATGAAGCACCTGTAGCCCACACCTAAGGATAAATAGGCAATCGTTATGACAAAATAAAATCAGTAACTTATAACAGGAATAAATGTTTAACCTCTTCAGTTGAATCAACTAGCCTGGTTCGAAACCATGGATCATCCGTCTCTGTAAGTTTCATCCGAATTTCGAAAGTCATTCTTGCAGGTTTTCCCTAACTGACTTTCGATCTTATAGGTTGATACCTTAGTTCACAAAAAGATAATCCTCTGGGGAATTTAGTGGTAAACATTTATAAAAATAGGGCGAGTAACGCCAACTTTAATTAAGGCGCTCGCCAAATGGTTCAAATGGTTTGGGAAGAACAGAAGTCTTTAAGGTTAGTATAGGTTCTGGAGATCATCATCTGTTATTCAGTCCAATTTTCCTTTGAATTACCATTTTTATAGAGACACAAGTAGGTTCTAAGGTTGGGAATTCTACTGGTTAACAATTCATTGTGAAAGTTAATCTAAAATCTTCAGCAATAAGGACAGAGGCCGCTGGACCTGTCTTAATCTTTGCAGCTGTTTTCTCAGTGAACACTCAGCTTCTTCTTGAAATTGTTTACTGGCAGAACTGACATCATTTGTTCGGGCAGGTCATTCCAGTCATTAAACACCAAATGAGAACAACGAAACCCCACTCTGAGTTTACGGCCCTGGGGATGATTAGTTCTAGAGGGAATAAAAAGACTGACATGTTAACACCCTAATTGCTGTCAGTGATATAGAATGCCAAAATAAGGTCACCTCGGGCCCTATTATACTATAAAGGTAAAACGGTCCAAGTGTTTTTAATGCTCATCGTGCGAGAATTCGGAAAGACCCACAAATGTTTTTATTATCACAAATTAAATAGTCTCTCGTGCTTGAGAATCCTTGATAAAACATGGATCGGCTGCTTGAATGCTGTATTGCAGATGCTGTTTCTTTTAGGTGTAGTATAAAACCCAAAAAATCTCGTCAAAATACTTGAATGTTCAACGAAGTGACCACAGCACTCGGAAACATTTTGTGACTTCTGCGTTGCAACCTTCAGTTGCTTATTAGTCATAATTTACTGTAAATTCATGGCCTTTTTGTTCCTGAATGCATGGGAATGATGTACCGTTGATAGTATACTGGTTACTATTGTTACGTTCGGTGTGCAATAGCACTCTTTCTGTGATTAATTCCTAAGCCCAAGTTTATGAACCGTTTAAATTATTCTGATACGCCTGCTTCGAGGTCAAGATAATCAGCCTTGCTACTTATTGTCCTTCAGATCTTGCCATCATTTACAAACATTATCGTCGATGACTTAAGCGTTAACGGTAACTCATTACCGTAGAGATGAAATAGTAAGGGGTCAGAGACGTTGCCTTGGATCCACCACTTTTTACCAGTTTCCATCCAAGTAGCATCACATTTTCTTTCACCCTCTGTCTTAGGCTACAAAAGAAGCTCCCAATCCACTCCTGTATTACACATGTAATGCCATAGCTCGAGAGATTGGGATAGAATCTTATCAAATGCTTTAGTAAGATTTATGAATATCACAATGTTGGACAAACGATTATCTGGAGCTGCTGTTCAACCCTCCATCGCGGTCAGTACGTTAGCTGAGGACAGATTAATATTCCAAAACTCGTGTTGCTCATTATATGTTAGTGTATGACTTAGTTAATTGGCCGGAAATATTGTTCGGGTGATATGAGCACTATTCTGGTAAGACCTTCGACGTAGCAGGTAACCATCGTTTCATTGGTGGAAGAAATCAGACTAGTAATGAATAGGCCTTCATTTAGGTCGCGAGACAACACACAGTAAAGCGGGAGGTTACCTGTTCAAACACACAAAGCTTTTCAACATTTAATATAAGGTAGTGGGAAGTATGCTTATACAAAATAAGGAAATGAATGAACACTTGAGCACTATTATTTTGGCGTATGCTTGGTTTTTTTAGGTCAACTACTAACTAATCGACCCAAGTCTTTACAAAACTGAAAGGTCGGTGACTAGATACAATCTATCTTTCTATATTTAAATGTGGGACGGACTTTAGCATTCTTCCAACCCTTAGTGAATCAAGTTTAGAAAGGGAACGTGTTGAACAGCAGTTTGAGTAATTTTTAAAGTTTCCACAACGGATGAAAACAGTTGTGGATGCATCCACCAGGACCGGCGAATTACCAAATCTGAGGCTAAAGAGCGACTGAAGAACAATCTTCTCAGTCATACATATTGTTCCTATGAGTGGTATGTCAATGGTGTGGTTATGAGAGGTGTTGTTAACAATGACCTTAGAGCTGACCTCGCTAAAATAGATTAATAAAGTCCCAACTTTGACCGGAACTGATCCAGGTAGTGTACCTGAATTTTCGTGCAACAATAATCGTGGACTCCATCATTATGTCATGCTCTTCGTTTAATGTACGAAAACAACCGTTTTGGAAATGTACAGCTATCGCGTGCCAACTCTGTTTTGTAAGTGCTGTGGTTTTTGGCTGCGATCTTTGGATACAGATTACGGATTTTTCAGTATTCACACAAGTTATTAGTAGCCTGTTAACAAGAAGTCCTAGATGTTTCTTTTACGCCTCAGTAAATTTCGGGTTTCCTTATCAATCTATGTAGGGCGATGTGATAGAACACGCGTTGACCATGGGATGAACAATGATCTCAATAACTCGAATTTGAAAGCCGAGATATACTGTATAATATGTCTCAGGAACCCAACTTGCAGTGAAACTCGATCACTTTTCTAGTGAGGGTAGGCATTGAATGTCAGAGATACCATCACAGTGACATGTGAGAGCAAGGTCCAGCAATGATGAATTGTATCCTAAGCCGACATTTGTCGGTTTCGAGATGAATATCTGACAGCAACTTGCCATCAAAACATTCACCTGAAATTGTAGGCTTTATCCTATTGATGTGTGGAACGTTGAAATATCGGACGATGAGACAACAGTCAGTCTTACTCCAATTACAGATATGATTATGGACAAAATCTTCAACAAAACAACGTGGACTACGGTATACTCCTCCTATAGTCACCAGCTCATGTCTAGACTCAACTTTAAAACAAGCTACTTCATGTATACTACTATCGTTCGTCTCTTATCTACTTGGTTGTACACAAACGTTATCTCTACCACGTGATAATGTGCCTTGTTCCTTGTTATGAACAGCTCTGAAATTTAGTCACATAGACTTAAGGCTGAAACCAGTAAAATCTTACAGTCGATAAAGGCTAAACGATGACTGTCATTATGGTTCATATTCTATCCAAAAATTTGTAACCCTTGTAAATCCTATGAACTTTCAAAGATTCAAAATAACAATGCCCTACTAAGACCAGTGGTTGATTTTGCAAATTCACCGACATACGATCTAACGAAATACTTAGCTAGGAAACTTAAACCGTATAACAAATTGATTAATTATGGAATCAAACACTATGGAATTCAAGAATAATATCGATACCACATATGTAACGAGGATGAAATGATGGCAAGTTTTGATGTATCTTCCTTATTTACCAATGTACTTACCAGTAAGTCATTAGACATTATTTATAACGGTTTAGAATCTGATTCAGATTTCAATTTACGATGTCCGTTAGATCCATCCAAAATTATCAAGCGCTTGGAATTGTGTTTACTAACCACCCTATTAACATTTCGATGAGGCATTTACAAACAGAAAGATGTAGCGATGGGTTCAGTAACTTCTCCGATTGTATCGAATTTATTTATGCCTTTTTTATAAACCAGTGCGATCACAGGTTGTTCATGTCCACCAAAAGTCTGGTCACGGTATGTAGGTGACATTTTTATTGCCATTAAACGGCATTTTTTAGAAGAATTGTTTGAAAATAAAAACGGCATTTCAGAGAGCATCACGCTAACTAAGGAAATGGAATCGAGTGACCACAAACTAGCGTTTCTGGACTGTTTGGTTGAATGAGGACATAATTATAAGTTGAAAATAATTGTATTCTGGAAATCAGCACATTCTGAGAGATACTTAGATTATGGTTCGGTTCACACGCTTTATACGAATGTCACAGTTGTAAAAATTCAATGAACAGAAGTACTAATCTCGTTACAGATAAGGAGGGCTAACAGGTTGAATTAAAAGTAGTTTTATCTAAGCCTAAGGGTAGCAATCACCCTAATGAGTCTTTGAAGATTATTAGACAAAAAGCGAAACTAAACTAGTACGTATACTGGATGATTGGAAGTCCACCGTGATAATCCCATACCGCAGTAAAGCATGAGAAGAAATCAAGATGTTTCTAAGCAATTGTAGCGGTAAATAAATCCACAAAATAAATAGCTCTGTAAGTTTTCGACATTGGATGCTGACCATATGTTTTAGTGGACTCATCTAGCTGAAGGCGCTCGGTCAGGCATCCGCACCAGATCACGTGTGGTAACGCCGTGCTCAACATCAACCGCAATCGCTAGCCAGATTAGATCAGAGAATTCCGATATATTGGTCATCTCTAAATATACTCTTCCGATCTCCTCGACTCTGTCTTTTGATTTCTCTGGGTGGGAACGAAATACATTAGAAGGTGTTACTGGTAGAAGCGTTGTAAAACACTGAATACCTGTGACATCATCATTGGTGAGACCGATGTGATCTGGTACACCTTATTGCAACTGTGAGTCTGTTCCTTTTTGGGATTTTTATATATCATTGCCTTATTTTTTATTTAAACATTGTGATTTTTTTTCGTTTTTTTTTCTTGGATATATATATATTTTCCTCGTTCATTATCGTACTTCATACTTCATCATGACTGAACAGACACCTAAAGTACTCAAGCTTAAGACTTTGTCCCCGCCTTCGTTTCAACTGATGCCTTTCTGGCCCGACAACATCGAAGCCTGGTTCTGCTACGCAGAAGCCGACTTCCACGAGCACGGCGTGATCGACTCACGTGCACAATTCCTCGCAGTAGTCAAGGCACTACCGCGCGAATTCAACAGGCACGTAACACCTAGTATGTTTACTAGTGATGTTTCCGATCCTTACGAAATCTTAAAACGCCCGATTCTTAAACGAGGAGACCTAACCGATCGACAGAGGTTAGATCAACTCTTCAACAACATCGACCTGCAACACGGTTCTGCGACGGACATGTTGCAACGGATGAGAGAGGTAATAGGCCCAAGAACTTTCGACGAAGGTCTATTCAAACAACGCTTCTTGTCAAAACTTCCCCAACAGGTGCAAGCAGTTCTGGTCTCGTTCCAGAACAACGCCATAGACGAGCTAGCTGCATCTGCCGATCGTATTTTAGAAATTA